TCAGCACTGTCAGCAGGTGAGCTTGGTGCCACCTCCCACCAGAAAGGCAGGGAGGGCAGGGACAACCGTGCTCAGACCAGGTCCTGGCTCACCTGGCAGCCCCTCCCTGGCCCCATGCACTGCCTGGGGGTGGGGGTGAGGGTGGGGCTCCCACTTTTGCCATCCCAGAGACACTTCACCTCAGCCTGTCTGGGCCAGAGCACCCTGCCACCCTGCCCAGGCGCCTGTGCAGACACACCTGCCATCCACTCTCCCAGCAAATGAGGAGCAGACAGAGGCGATTCGGCCGAGAGCCACCAGGGTCCCAGTGGCCTCGCAGGCGGAGCAGCCTGCCAGGGTTGGTGCCCGCGGTGGGAAGATGAACAGGCCGGGCCTCAGCCAGGAAGCGTGCATGTCTCAGAGCTGAGACATGAGGTACACGTGTGCACCTCAGGCCTCTGGCTCTTTCAGACCTTCGTCCACCTCATTAGATCCCAGGGCATCTTGGGAGAGATGAGGAAGACGGTCATCTTTCTCTCCGTTTTCAAATGGGGCAACTGAGGCCCAGCCTGCCTGAAGCCACGCAGTGGGGCCACTAGATTTTAGATCCTTCTAAACAATACGGTCACATGGCTGCCTCACCCCACTCCTATGCTGGTTCTTTATCTGCAAAGTGTCCCTTTCAGGTATAAGAAAGATCATAGTGACAACAGCTAAATCTTCATAGCACTGTGTGCCCGGCACTGGTTATTCTAGAGCTTGATATAAATATTAACGCATCAACTCCCCACCAACCCTGTGGCGTAGAAGCCATTTTATCTCCATTTTAAAGATGAGAAAACTGAGGTACCAAGTGTTTAAACAACTTCGCCAAAGTCCCGCGGGAGCTGGGACCTGAACCGGGCGACCAGGCATCTTGCTCCTGGCCGCTGGGCCACACGCGGGGCACGGGGGGGTGAGGGCTGTCGGCGTCCCACCCCCAGGAAGCCCAGTGCGTGCGGAGGGCTGGCCTGTGCCCCTGGGTCATGTGCGCGTGCCCCCCACCCCCCTACCCCTGCTTCAGGACACAGCACAGGGAGCGGGAGGCAGAGAAGAAAAATGGAAAGATAACAGAACAAAGGCAGGAAAGGCCGCTCCCAGCCGGCCTTGACCTGCCAAGCTCTCCCCCATATCCTCCCCTGGGCTGGGGGCCCAGATATGCAATCCTTTCTCACAGCTTCGGCGGGAGCTCCGCTCACCGCGCCATCTGCTCCGTGGCCAGAACCCAGAGCCCAGAGTCCTCGCAGGTCCCATTTCTCCAGGGGACCCGTCAGCTCGGAACAATGAGGGGGATTGATGAGGCAGCAGGGCCGCCGGGAGGGAGGGACAGAGGGCACTGGGCCGAGACACAAAGGGTTATTGAATGCACCAAACGCAGAGGCTTGCACAGGCAGGCGGCAGCCCTCAGCCCGAGTCAGACCTCCTGTCCTTTGGCACAGGCCAAATATTGACTTTCCCTCACTCAGCGTTGCCTGTGGAGCTGAGAGCAGAGGCTGGCAACTGTCCCCTTCCCCTCAGAGGGCACGGCTGTCGGCGGGGCCGACAGACACAGGCCAAGGCGGCTCTGGCCCGGAAGCCCGGGGCTCCTCAGGCCAGTTCCTTCGTCTCCTTGGGCCTCAGTGTTCCAATCTGCCGGATGGGAGCGTTGGACTTGGATTTGATGACCTCAGCATCGAGGTTGGGAGGTGCTTCCTTCTCAGTGACCCATGGCCTTGCTGCGCTGCTCCTAGCAGAGGTGACAATACTACTCTGTGCTTAGTAGGGAGGGTGGACAGGACACTGGGCTCAGGGTCCCCATGCGCAGGTGCAGCCCCATCTCTGGGGCGAGCATACTGTGGTACTGGGCACGGTGCCCCCCTCTCTGAGCCTCAGTTTCCCCATAGTCAGAATCAGAGGACTGCATGACATGAGGCCTTCAGGCCCCTTCCAGTGAGCGGCCCCTGCGGTGGCTCCAATCAGCCCTTGTCCCCAAGACCTCATTTTGCAGCCCTCTCCTACAACACCCTTGCGTGGAAGGCTGTCACGCCCAAACTTGCTTTCCTTCATCCGGGAGCCCTCTGTTAGCCTCCGAGCTCCCCTCTGGCAGGCTCGTGCTCAGTCTGCAGCCCCTTGGCCGAGCTCCCAGGGACACGGGCCGGAGCGTGCAAACTCCCAAAGCCCGTAGCCAGTGGACCGCGGGAAGGGGATGCTGGAAACTGGGGCTCTGTCCCCACCTTTCCTCTGACAGGTTGGTAATATTATTCCACTTCACAGATGAGTAACTGAGGCTCAGAGACATTAAGTAACTTGCCCAGAGTCACACAGCTAATAAGGAGAAAGCAACATGAGAAGCTGGACTTGTCTGCCTGCAAAGCCACTGCTCTCACCACCAGCATTCTTACTGAGACGAAATGTCGTCACCTCTCTCCAGGCTGTTACAGCGATGCCCAAATGACTCCCAGAACCTTCCACCCACCCACCCCACCTGCCTCAGGCTGCGGAACCAACAGGGTGGGAACTGACTGACCTAAACTAACCTTAAACTTTGCAAGTAAGGAGGCCTAAGGTCTCAGGGTGCATCTGGGGTAACCCAAATCCAGGTGCTACCACCCTGGGGGACCCTGGGAGTCCCAGGTTGAGCGCTCCAGGCGGGTTCAGCCTCACCCACGGCTAGCAGTTCATTCCTGCAAGGTGCTAGGAGTGAGAGAGCACACGGTCCCCTCCCAACCACAGACGAGACGGGTGGCAGAGAGGACAGGACGGCGGGAATGGGTGGGAGGGTTAGGAAAGTGGGGCAGTTCTTTTCTCTCCCATGAAGTTTCTGCTGCGGAATGCCTCTACCCGTCAGGGCTAGAGAGGGACGGGAGACGAAGCCGGGCAGGTCCTCACTCTGCAGGGCTGTTTGGAGATGACCCTGCAAGTCCACAAATCGTCCCCTGCTCCCCACGGCCACGGTCCAAAGGTAGCTAGCTGCCAGCTGCCTGCTACCAGCCTTTACTGTCATTGTCAACGTAGCTGCCACTCACTGAGGACGCAGAGGGCCCAGCATCACACTCAGCCTTCTACCACAACCTCAAAATACCACCACTATTATCATTTCATTTTGACAACTAACCGAAGCTCAAAAATGTCAAGTAACTTGCTCAAGGTCACATAGCTGACACCCAGCACATCGTGGTCTGAGGACTCACTCTATGTGTGCAGGGCCTGGAACGTGGCCCCATTCACACGGAGCATTTTGTCTCAAGTTGTCTCCACTCTAGGGACAGAAGTGTGTGTGTGGGGGGGATGCATTGGGAATTCCTGGAGGCCACCTGCCCCATCACCCAGCCAAGCCCACTTCCTGTTACTCAGATCCCAGCCAGGAGAGTACCCACTTCAACCCTGTCAATGTCCAGGTGAGAAAAGAAAAAACGGGCGCACAAGCTGCAGGCAGAGCCTAGAACTAAATTCCTACCTCAGAGCCGCACTCTTCCCACAATCCCCGGGCCCCGCACAGCTCCGCGCTGCCAAGCTGCCACCTCGGCCCTCACCCCAGGAGGAGGCAGAGGCTGGGGTGCAGGACAGTGCTGCAGGCTGTGGGAGCAAGCAGCTTTCTAATTACCATTCCTTCAGACCATCTTGGTCTGAGGGGGGTGCAGCCCGGCCTAGAGCCAGGGGCCAGACCGCGTGACCTTGGGAGGTCCTTGACCTCTCCCTTTTCACTCACTGGACCCTGGCTCTCCCTGTAAGCCTTTCCCCAAAGACTGCCCCTGCAGAGAATGTGCAGTCTGGAAAGACGGCCCTTGTCCCCACCACTACTGGAGGCTCTGAGAGTGGGCGATCAGGCTAAGGGGCTCACAGCCCTGCTGCCTTTGGGGTGGGGGGCTGGTTTCCCCAGAGGCCAGGTCACAGAAGCAACGCTGCCGCTGAGGCTGCACCCCACCCAGCCCTTCAGGCCTCACCTGCCTGCTGGGGACAGCAGGTGTCAGGATTGGGGCAGGTTTCAGACCCCGTATGTTCCAAACCCCCATTTTCCAGCTGGAGATACTGAGGCCCAGAGCGGTAGGTGCGCTGTCCAAGGCCAGGGCTGACTGAAAGCTCCCGGAAACCCGCGGAGCGCTGCGGTGCACAGCTCTGCGCTGCCACCTGCTCCCCAGGAAGCGGACGCGGAGCCCCCCCGCAGAGTGGCCAGCGCTCAAAGGCTGCGAACTCCTAAGCACCCAGGCTGGGGGCAGGCGCGCCGGAGGGCAGGTCCGCCCGGCCACCCTGCCCCCACCTCGTCCCCATTCCTGGTCACCACGCGCCTCCATCACCGTGAGGCTCAGAGTTGTGCAGAGCTTGCCCAAGGTCACACAGCAAACCGAGTAGAGCATGCGCTCTTACTGCCTGCCCCGTGGCCCTTTCCCCGCACCCCACCCCCACCCCGGTCTCTCCCGCTCGGCCCGGGCCAGGATCCGGGGCCCCTGCTCCCTCCAGTGCACCCGGCCGCGACGCTTGCTGGAAGACGAGAAAGTTTCACGGAGAGGAGGGGGCGGAAGCTGCCGCCGCCCGTCCCAGCCCCGGACGGCTGCGGCAGGGCGCGCGGCGGGCGGGGAGGCGGGCTCCCCCGCGCTGCGCAAGGGGGCTCCGGGGCTACGCGCGTGGGCCCTTCGGTTCCTCCCCGCTGCGGCGGGGGCGGGGGTCCCAGGCGCCCCGCACCCCACTTAACCCCCTTCCCACGTTCTCAGCGGCGGCGCCTTAGCCTCTGCGCTGCCCCGGTGCCGGCGCGGTGCCGCGGCCGCCCCCGCCTGCTCTGCACGACGGGTCCCCGGGATCACCCCGGACCCCTCCGCCGGGGCTGGTCGGCCAACGCCCACGCGAGTGGGTTTCCGGAGCCCAGTCCCCACCGCGCGCTCCGTCCCGCACTTAGTTATCCCGCCGCGAGCGCCGCGCCCGCGAAGTCCAAGTGTCCCCGTCCGGCGACCCCGCGTCCGCCTGCCCGGCCCCAGGCCCTCGGGGCGGCCGCGCGCGGCCCCTCTTACCCGGGGCGTCAGCGCGCCCTGCGGCCTGGCTCGTGGAGCGCGCGGAGGACGGGACGGCCGGGGTCCCCGCGGCCCCTTCGCGCCGCCGGTCGCTGCGGCTCCTCGCGCGCGCTCGCTCGCGCTGCGGTGGTAACAGCCCGAGCCGCTCCCCGGCCGCCAATTGACATGCTCCTCACATCCGCCTGCACACGCGCGGGCCGGCCCCACCAGGGCGATCCCCGCCGGCGCCGCGCGGCCCCCTCCCGGGCGATCCACGCCGCGG